CCTGCAGCCTTTGCGAGGTTGACTTTTACTTAGCAGCTAGGCTTCCCCGAGACCCCAGATTGGCCTGTGAACAAGACACATGACACAAAATGTAAAGGGACCCCGATGGACGAATTAACTTCTGCAGGGGATCCTCATTATGATCCGAGGTTCGTTCCTTGACAAAGCAGCCACTGAAGCGGGTACAAAGCCAATGAAGCCGTCTCGGGTTGTTTGGCCGCTGTGGGTGCAGCTTCAGACTGCGGTCATGGCTTCAGCTATACTCCGGCTTGCAAAGAGAAGCCGCGCACACTTGTAAACCGTAGTAGGTTTCAAGTCTTCGGTTTTGGTTTATTTTTGATTTAGTATTCTCGGTTTGCCGAGGATCGCAAGCGTCGTCTGAGCTGAAATGCGCGATGATCCTAACAAGTATCCATCGGGAAGCACTGACCAATATTGGCAAAAGTGATAACCGCGACCATCGCAAAGCATCCGATGCTCGAGAGGACTGATTTCCACATGGGTCGCAGGAATGTTGCCTCTTGGCAAACGTGAGCTACGCTATGTGGCAATCGGGTTCGTTGCTTCTGTGACATCTTGTAGTAAGCGGTTGTCAATTGCCCTCGACGCCCTCAATTCGTCTTCAAGGCATGAAAATCCATTCCATCACAGCAGTGGTGTATCTATGATGCAGATTGAACGAGCAGAGTGACAGAATCCCTCTGTCTTCGGTGTTTTTTGTTCGAGATTGTGGCTGTTTCGTGTGGAATAACGAAGACCTTTGGGGCTTGTTCTTTTCTGTCAGCAAAGGTTTGCACTGTTTCTGGGGCGTGGACTCTTGCAGTTTCGACCTCTCGGGATGGAACCCGTCGCAATCCACTTGTCCTGTACCATTGCGTTTTGCGATGTGTTTTAGCTCGATTTAGCTTTTGCAACAGCAGCAGTGCAACTACATTGCTAAACTCTATGCCATTTGCATGTTGCTAGAGATCTAGATGTCATTTCCGGGGTACATGCTGTGCTGAATTCGACCCACCACCAACAGGCTGCTTTTTTGCGGATCCCATGACACAGAAGAGCAGGGAAGCTGTAGTGCCACCAAGAGCAAGTAACATCGAGTGCAGGGAAACCGTGAGTATTGCTGTTGAACCTTGCTATTGGGAGCATTGGTTTGCGGGGGGGAGGGGGGGTACAGCTGTCTCAGTGGTTTGAGGTTTTCCGCCAGCGAGCATCTCTTTGCCGACACGGCTGCCAAGCATCTCGTCTTGAATTGGTTGTCCTGCTCAGCTCCTTAACTAAATCCTGATTTCCTTTAAAGCCTGAGGCCCAAGGCCCAAGTGTGTCAGTTGAGGCTCCATCCAAAGGCTCCCCCGAAATCTGCAGTGGGCTTAAAAGCGAAAATCTCGACACCGTCGAACTGCGCAGAGCAGAACCTCTGTACGGCTGGTGTACCGCTTAGGGCTTAGTGTTCTTGGGTTTCTGCGCGGTGACAGACGACTCAGGATCGGCTTCGCGGTGCCCATGTACTGGGTGATGGACGTGCCTGGCCACACGAGCTACTTATAAGTCAGCTACGGCACGCACTGTAACCCTCTAAATCCAATCCTTGAGCCCGCCATGAAGGCTTTCAGAGATTCTGACACCTGTTGGCTTTAACCGTTGAAGTGACGAGGATTGGGCTTTGCAGGAGCTGTATCACCCATTAGCTGTACATGTTATATGCTATGGTAGGCCGGTGCATGCAGGAGCTCCCCCTTGCTCCGCCGGTACAAACGTAAGGAAGTACGTATGTATATGTATGTATGCATGTTTATATGCACGTGCGTGTGTAAGTATGTTTGCTTGCATGCAGATACGCACACATGTATATGTACGTATGTCTGTATGTCTGTATGTATGCATGCATGTATGTCTGTGTGCATGCATGTATGCATGAATGTATGTATGTATGTACATATATATATATACATATGTGTATATATATAAGTAAGTAAGTCAGTAAGTAAGTAAGTAAGTATGTATGTATGTATGTATGTATGTGGATACGTATGTGTGTGTGTGTGTGTTTGTGTTTGTGTTTGTGTTGTGATTGAAAGCATATGTGCCCGAATCAAGAAAACGGTAACACTACTTCTAGAGTCAGGTTTTGTTGCCGGCCTTGTTTTGCCCTGCTCTCTCCCGTTGGAACCCCTTCAGGTCATTAAAAAAAGGTAAACTCCAAAGCCTTAAGCTTTGAGGCTCTACCCATAGGCCCCATCCCCATAGTAGTTCCTTTTGGGGATTACGTTATAGGATTCTAAATATGGACCCCAAAAAGGAGCTACTATGGGGCCTATGGGTAATACCCTGCAGGTGACGATCACCCTGAACCCTAAACCCCGAAACCCTATACCCTGCAGGTGACGATCAACATCCTTCAGACACCTCATCGGGCCTTGGTCTCTGACCTTGCTACTGTGGAGCAGCAGGTGCCGATGCAGGCCGCACCTGCCAACAGGGTTTAGGGTTTAGGGTTTAGGGTTTAGGGGTTTAGGTTTTAGGAGTTTAGGGACCATTGCGTAATATGGTGTAAAATACGGTGGACCATGGCGCATTGGGACAGATACGTCATCTATCGTGTCATGGAGAGCTGAGCAGAGGATGCAGGTATAGTTCTGCAAAGGTTTATGGCCCATTTGCTTGTATGTATATGGGTACACTGAGTCTAAAACTGGTAATTGAAAAGTGTTACCTTGCATGAAAGACTCGGATGCTAAAGTCTAGGACATTTTCAGGTGGGTAGTTGCCGTTATAGGAGCCTTATAGAAGGTCTATATACCTTATACCCTATAAACCCCAAACTCCCCACCTGCAGTTTCCTCTAACTACATAGGGTTGAGGCGGAAGGTAAGCTGAGACCTCCAGGCTTTGCACTTTCCATCGGTGCTTGAGGAAACCGCGAAAGGCTCCGCTGGAGGGACCCGGAAGCCACAAGCCAATACCAAAGGAAGAAGGGGGGTTGCTTAGAAGATGGCTTAAGCTATGCTCAATACCTGAAGGTTTGGGGTCTTGTTTGGGGATTCTGAAGGTGGTCTTTGTGGTGATCATGTCCATCGGAAACTTTTTGGGCTACTCGACCCTTGCCGGCAGCAGTGAGGCCTTGTCAGGTTCTGGGTGCCTTGCCTGTTGTTTCCAGGGTTTCAGGTCGGATCGTTCTAGGCTGTGTCCTTCCGGCACACCTTTGGGAAGTGTCTGAGGGGTGTCCAGTGCTCTAGTTAGTCTTCGCCGTCGGAAGGCAGAATGGACTGTCTCCACTCAGACTCAGCCTGCTGCGCACAAATCTGTTGTCGTTGACTGGCGAGCTCGGGGCTTAACGCGTTCAAGACGCTTCGGGACGCCAGGATCATGCAGATCTACGCCATCCCTGTGGAGCACATGTTGAAGCTGCCCGGATGCGGTGAGTAGGCTGCAAATAGGACCACAGGCGGGACGCGATTTGAGTCCGCCGGCTTTACCCATTGCCTCCCCAAAGGCTCCAAGTACCATTATAGTAGGTACTTATTAGGTATTTGGGCCCCCAAAGTATATACTATACTAGTACTTGGACCCTTTGGGCTCGTCGGCTTACCAACCAGCAGCTTTCGATGCCGGTACTTGCAGTACTAGGGAACGAGCCTGCGGACCGACAAAGGCTGATGGCAATGATCTGTGCACTCAACACCCTTTGCATCGCCGTACAGTTCCTTGTTGCCAAGGAGGTGCGCGTGCGGGCGTTGAGCTTTCGTTTCGGTGCACGTTATGGGTGTACAGGGCAGCAGGTTCGATCTCTCCGGTGCAGATTGAGGCAAGTCTATCGCTCCAGGGGAGGGTGTCACCGCTTGAACGCTATGTTTTCTTAGTAAGTAGAGCAAGAAAGATCAGATAGGTTATCGCGATTTTTTGCAGGGTCTACTACTAAAGTTAATAAAGTCCATGTCCAATAGATTCCCTGAGTCGCACCCACCCCTAACGTTTCCAGCAGCCTTCCTGCAGGTGCCCCTGAAGCGGGCGGAAAGCGCCGGTAAGGGCTGCTGCGCCCCTGCATGGCCCCTAGCGCGTATTTCTCTGTCTCTCTCTCTCTCTCTCTCTCTGCGTGCGTGTGTGTTTCTGTGTGCGCGTGCCCACGCTCTTCTCCTGGCTCTCCCAGTATAAGCTCAGTAGAGGTGATGTGGAGACAAGACTTACTAGACAAGAGCCATTGAGTTTCAGGCTGTCCGGCCTGTTCAAGACAACCTGCAAACAAATCATTACGGCTGCTGTCGCGTGGTACCAAGGGGAGGTCATTTGTGCCACGGTATAACGGCTGCTATGTAAGATTTGCATCGATGAAGACTGCATGACAGAAAGCTTAGTATCAATGCGTTTTGCTCGAGGAGTGTTTGCTTCACGCTTTGCCATCCCGGCGCAGTCGCAACGAGTAAAGGCTAGCTTAACGTGCTTCTACAAGGAATCTTGCAAACTCGCAGACATCCGGGCGCACAAGGTGTTGAGCGTCGTCTCATCGATACGAGGCCCTGGCAACAACCGCGTCTGCAAACTATGGCATCAATGTGAGTGTGGAGTGGTCGACTGCTTCTGCCAGCTCACGTAACACCGAAGCAGCTACTTCCAGATTTACGGGGTGTATGGTCGCTAATACTTTGCAACAGCCGTCCTGCTTGCTCTTACTGCAATGTTCGGATGAGACCCATTCTGTTTGGTGTGGAGTGGCCTGGAGAGGCATGCCATGCCTCCTCTATCATCTCGCCTTTGTGCAATGTCTGGTCTGGAGACTTGGACAGAAGCCAAACTTGTTTCTGCTTCTGCGCAAAGACGTCCACCCATAGAGTGCGTACATATATATATATATATACATTCCGGGTCCAGCGAAGTTGACCAATAAAGCCATCACAGCGCCAAGTAAGTAGCACGCTCCAGCCTTCTGCGAGAATGTAGCCTCGTTTGGGACTCCGTTGCATTCAGAGCTTCTGCGAGCCATCTGGTCGAAACTCTTGAAGCCAAAGGATTGGAAACACTGCCTGGACCTACTACTCCTCTCAGTGGTTCGCAGATTCCGTCTATGAAGGCGAGGCTGGCCTGGCGGCAAAGACTTTTTCAAAGGGGCTCTAATAAATAGCAGCCAGATCCCCAGATAGTCCCTGTATAATTATGCAATAATCGCACCCCAAACCCTATTCTAATCATTCCGACCCCTATATCAGGCTTCTTTGTTCTACGTATGTATGTAGGTATGTGTACATATACATATATGTATGAAGGTGTTGTGCGGAGTTGTTTAGCCAGCTGGGGTCCGATTACGGTGGAAGGGGCGCCCCTTCAGGAACAACCACGATCATCAACGTATAGCTTGTTTTAGGCACAAAAGAGAACGCACTCCAAGCTGAAGGGCGGCCAGGGTCCTGCGACAGCCTACAGTAAACCCCCAAAACCAACACCCAGAGAACCCAATACCCCCAAGTAAGGAATATGCATTAAATCATAACATGAGGGCCCCTATAATTTAAGGTATATTCCTTAATTAAAGGATATTTGGGTTCTCTGGGCCTGTCAACGGCCGAAGCCTCAGCAGTTGGGAAAGTGCCCTCAAAAATCCTTAAACAGGTCAACCCCAAGCTCCGATACTTCTAGACCCCTGAACACGTAGACCCCCTTAACCCTGAACGTATAGACCCTAACTCGACATAGCCTTTGCTCGTACCTAGGTCTTCCAATATACCAGAACCGGGGATCGCTCCGGGACATGCAGGTTAAGGAAGGTCTACCGGATGTTCGGCGACCTAGGTGACCACTCAAACCCGACAGCCCAGTACGACCAGCAATGAGGTCCCGGCCCTTGCCTCCATAGCCGGAGGTGACCAGCATGCACCAGACGGCTCTGAGGCGAAGCTGAGCTACGGTGAAGGCGAGCACATTCCTTTAATGCGGTTTGTCGGCTGAGAGTGGGGAACTCTCTAGTGTCTGTCAGAAGTTGACATGGGGTGATGCCTCCCAGAAGCTACTTTATGGGCATGTTTGTTGTTTAGGCTACCTGAGGTTTGTCAGTCGAACCACTCATCCGAGATGCTTGCAGAGCTGTAATTTGGAAACGGAAGCATGCACTGATGTCCATTAACAGGAATTGAACAACCTGGCCGATCAGTAGTACTGGAGAGCATAATAAACAGCATCAGGTTGTCACGTCTGCAATTTCTCCATTCCTTGCACTCACACCCATCAGGCATGCACGCCTTCAGCATGGGCGGTCAGTATCGCTCGGGATTTCAGCTGCTGGCAGCCTTGTCGATGCTCGGCAGTTTTTTTTTTGCCTCGGCTTCATGCATTTACCACTCATGGCTGTGTTCTGCGTTCTGCATGACATTCATCCACCACGCGACGACCTAATGGGTTCGGCTCCTGGTAAGAGGTCGGAACAGAAGTACCTACATTATGTATGTATATGTATATAAGTAGGTATGCATAGCTTTAATTATGTATGTATGTTTGTATGTTTGTATGTTTGTATGTTTGTATGCTTGTATGTATGTATGTATGTATGTATGTATGTATGTATGTATGTATGTATGTGTGTGCGTGTATAAATGTGTGTATGTATATATATATATATATATAGAGAGAGAGAGATTTCGCATGTCCTTGATGTACATACCTGTGCATATGTTATTAATATAGTTATTGTATATGTGGTGTCCAAATATATATATATATATATATATATATATATATGTGTGTGTGTGTGTGTGTGTATATACACACATATGATAGATACACATGCATGGTGCATACCGTTTTCGTAGGTATATATATATATATATATATATGTTTGTATAGTGAATAAATGTAGAGTATATCTATTTATATATATATATACACATACACACATACATACATACATACATACTTACTTACTTACTTACATGCATGCATACATTCATTCATTCATTCATCCATCCATCCATCCATCCATTCATTCATTCATTCATTCATTCATTCATTCATTCATTCATTCATTCATTCATATACACACATACATACATACATACATACATACATACGTACACATACGCTCAGGATTATCGTGCTCCTGCTCCAGACTCGCTTGCGTCCACGCCTGATCTATGCTCCCTGTGCCCTGGCATGACGCAGCGCTTGGAGATCTTGGTGATGCTGTCGTTGATTTATTCTTCACCTGATGAGTCTCAGCCCAAATGTCCAAAACTGCGAGGGCCCCGAAGCAGGATCGCGCAAGTAGGAACCCACCTAAACACTCTAGTGAGGAACCCCAAGCCCGAATCCAGAAGCCTGACGGGCTTCCATTTACACTAATCAGGATCTACATGCCATTCGGGCTAGTAGTGCGAGGATGGTATCTCAGAGAGGGAGGCCATGAGGGCAAGGTTTAATTTGGGATTTGCGAATTCCGCATCAGGGTCAGGAAGGAATCTTCCAGACACATCTTGAGCTTGCTTGCCGTCACGAACCTCTGGTACACACGCCCGAAAACCTGAACCGAAAGCACACCCTCGAGGCATTTTCATTGGGGCGATTGTTAGCTTCCTTGCCGGCTACGTCGTTGGTCACAATGCCGCCTTCGCCCCTTGACGGCGACAGAAACGATGAATCGAGACTCTTCTCAGGAGCAGGCCCTTTCCAGGTTCGGTGGCCGCAGCTCGTCCGGAGTCCTGGGCCCCCCAAACCGGTGGAGCAAAAATGAAAGTGTACTAGTATAGTATATACTTTGGGGGCCCAAAGACCTACTAAGTACCTACTATAATGGTACTTGGACCCTTTGGGTGAGTCATTTTCACAAGCCGTGTACCTAGCCTCCAGACGTGCCCTAGACGGAAGCAGTGAATCTCCTCTACAGAGTTCACAACTAAAGCCGAGCCCGGCTACGTGACGTATGTGAACCCAGGCGATTATCGTCTTCGTGTTTTCGATCATGCCGGAGACAGGATCCTTTGCGATCCCTTTTGGGCAGCTTGACTTGATACTCCATGTGGGTTGTGGGCACATACTGTGCGCTGCCGCTCCATATCGTGACGTTTTTCTCGAGCCGTGTATATTATGTGTATATATATATATATATATGTAAACACATATACATATACACATAGTTGTCCGTCGATGCGTAGAACCTGCGTCCCACCAGATATGCTTCTGACACAACTGCCGGTCTTTTTGAGTTGTGACATCCAGCGCTTCTGCTGCGATGTATGCCTGTTGCCAAGGCTCGTGGCTACGCTCAACAAGCGTGCGGAGCAAGAGGGCAAGCAGGCGGCTGCCAGGAAAGTTTTGGGGTCCGCGGTTGAGGGTTCCATGGGGTGGGGTTCAGCTGTCCCTGTACCTGTGTCGTGTGGAGCTTGCCCATATCGGGCAGCTAGAGCAAATTCTAACCAGGCCCCAGCAAGGCTGCATCCTTAGATCTGCCTAAGAACCTTTAGCCTTTAAGTTTCTAACTAACTGCTTCCGTTCCTCCGAATTGAACTGAGCAGTAGCTGCTCCAGCAGCGAAGAGGTGAGCACCGCTCTTCAAATGGCCCTGCTCAATTGTTGCGTCACCGTGGGGCAGCAGATATGCCATGTAGCCTCTCGGTGAGAACCAGACAGCTCGATTTTGTTTGGGAGGTGCCGGCAACCGAAGCCTGCTCCTGTCCAACTCAGACTGAAGCGCAGAAACACTAATTACAGTAAGCTTACAAATTACAAGACTTGCCACGTTGTGAGCGCTGAAAGAAGCGTTTAAGAACTAATTTAGAAAGGTGTTAGTCCTGTACACCAGCTTTTGGTAATAAGAAATGTGGCGAATAAAGGAAGCCAGTGCTGGACAAACTCAGGTGACGGCAACCATCGAGACGAGTTTGCCTCTGCATGCGGCCCTGCCGGTCGCCTTCCTCTTTGCAGCAGCGGTTCCTTGCCTTCTTGGTTGATGCAATTCCCTAACCCCCCAGGTACCTACTATATAGGGTACTAGAGCCCCTAGGGCCCTATATAGTAGGCACTTGGGGGGTTAGGATTGTGTGACTCAAAAAGGACACTTGCCGCATGCCGTAGCCACAGTGCAGCGCAAAGGGCTCTGCTAACATGCGATCCGGTCCTGGATTCAAGTCTCAACTGCAAACCCATAAACCGTAACCACGAAGCCGCCACTGTTAGACTCCAAACTCTAGGCTGTTTCAAAGTCCTAGAAGGCCCTCAAGCAGCTTTCTCCAATCTGAGACCCTGCACAACCCTATAGAATCCGTTCAAAGCCAAACCCCGCATGAGACCCCTAAACTCCCTAATCTGAAACCTAAGCCCTAAACCCTAAACTCCTAAACTCCCGAATCTGAGACCCAAGCCGTAAATCCTAAACTCTTAAACTCCCGAATCTGAGACCTAAACCCTAAACCCTAAACTCCTAAACTCCCGAATCTGAGACCTACATCGTCGGCGGCTGTTCTGCACTTTGCCTGAACGATCGGCCGCCGACTGAGGCCGGCAGAAGCCTTGGGGTTAAAGTGACAGCTCTGGGCTTGAGGGTTTTAGGGTTTAGG